AATCAAATGCATTTCTATACATCACTGATGAATCCTCTGAATGAGAAATTAGGAAAACTACCCCATTCACAATCTCCTAAAAAATAAAATAAAATAAAATACTTAGGAATCAATTTAACAAAGAGGTATAAGACCTTGACAAGGAAAGTACACCATGATCAAGTGGGATTCATGAACACTAAAGAAAGAAATTGAAAAAAGACCTTAGAAGATGTAAAGATCTCCCATGCTCTTGGATAGGCAGAATTAATGTTGTCAAACTGGCCATACTACCAAAAAGCACTATACGCATTAAATGTGATACCAATTAAAATACCAACATTATACAGCATAGAAATATAAAAAGCAATCATGAAATTCATTTGGAAAAATAAGAGACCCAGAATAAGCATGCAATCCTTAGCAAGAAGAGTGAAGTAGATGGCATCACTATACCAGGTGTTAAACTATACTACAGAGCAATAGTAACAAAAGTGGCTTAGTATTGGCACCAAAACAGACATGTAGACCAATGCTACAGAATAGAAGACACAAAAAAACCCCACATAAACACAGTTATCTCATACTAGATAAAGGCATATATATATATATATGCCTTTAAAAACTTGGAATGGAACCATCATTTGACACAGCTATCCTACCCCTTGTTCTGTATCCAAAGGACTTAAAAATAGCATACCACAGTGACACAGCCATGTTTACAGCAGCATAGTTCACAATAGCCAAACTGTGGAACCAACCTAGATGCCCTTAAATAGATTAATATATAAGTAACTTGGAATATTACTCATCAATAAAAGAGAATAAAATTATGGCATTTTCAGGTAAATGGATGGAGTTGGAGAATATCATACTAAGCAAAGTAAGCCAATCTCAAAAATACCAAAGGCCATTGTTTTCTCTGATAAGTAGATGCTAATCTATAATGGGAGGGAGGGCATGGGATGAGTGGAAGAACTTTTGAGTTGGGCAAAGGGGAGGGAGGAAAGGGGAGAAATCATGGGGATAGGAAAGACAGTGGAAAGAAATGGACACCATTGCCCTAGGTACATGTATGTTTGCACAAATGGTGTGACCCTACTTCGTGTGCAATCAGAGAAGTGAAAAATCATGCCCTATTGGTATACAATGAATCGAACAGCATTATGTTGTCTTGTATAACTGATTAGAATAAATAATTTTTAAAAATATGGTAGACATGACAGAGATCATATGGCCCAACCATAGAACCTAAACTATTTGCTCTCTGGCCCTTTACAAAAGGAATTTGCTCATCCTTAGGACAGAACATGAAGAGAACACACATCAGAGGACAAGGTATTAAATACAAATGTGATTATCACAGGATATTTATGCAAGAGAAATGAGAAAGCTCATCTTACCAGACATATAAGGATAATTTATTTCAAATGTTTAAAAAACTGTAGAGAAATTTTAGGTTTCTGAATGAGCACATTTATCTTTGTTCATGCAATGTTACATCTCAAATTTTAGGATTCAGTCCTTCCCAATTAATCTCCTACCAAAAAATGACAGATTTAGTGCATCTGTACACCACCTTCCATTTATAATTTTGCAATAATTAATTAACAGAATAGATGGTGAAATGAGATGGACATCATTACCCTAGGTACGTGTATGACTGTACATATGGTGCAACAATACATCATGTACAACCAGAAAAATGGTTGTGTTGCAACTGTGTACAATGAATCAAAATGCATTCTGTTGTCATATTTACTTAATTAAAATAAATAAATTAGTAAAAAATATTTAATAAACAACACATTTGGGGCATGATTCTTAGTTATATGTGTCTAGTGGTTACAAAACAAAAGCAATTATTTTAAGGACACACAGGATCCAAAGAGAAAGAATTTAATAAAAGTAACTGGTTAACAGTTAACAGATCATTGACAAAGCAAGACAGGTTGAAGAGGCAGCTCTGAGATCAGAAAAGCAGAATGTTGCTTCTAACACAAGAAGAGAGATTAAAGTATGAGTGAGGAATTATGATTAGAAACACAAACAAGTGCTGGTCAGGAGGACCTAAACCCACAGATGAAGGAGCTGCTTCAAAGGGCATGGGGCAATAGTTCTGAAACATTACTCCAAACAGGGACAGGATAAAATTATACCACAAGTTTTCCCCTCTACTCTCCAATTACCCATACTTGACAAACATACACAAAAGCCAGAAGGCAAAGAAGCATAGGAAATCCAGTTCCCTGTGAAACAAGCCAGAACAGGGACTCCTGAGAACACTTAGGTGAGTGATTGACTCAAAATATAAATACTAAGGAACACAAAATAAAACAATCAAAAAAAGGGTAAATGATGTCCATCTCATTTCACCAAAAATAAATATAAGAAAAGAAAGTAGATAATGGATCAAAATGATCTAATATATAAGCAAAAATTATAAAGAGAAAATAGAAACAAAAAATTAACAAAAAAATAATATAGCATAATTTCTCAGGTTAGAAGTTAATTAATTTCGACATAGAAAGGGCTTCAATATAACCAGAACACTGGATGACAAAAGATACCATGTAAGGATAAAAATCTCTTGGATATCTCTACAAAGAAAACAAGTAAGCCACACACTAGTGAATGAGAATAATAAAAATGCCCTTTAATTTCTGAAGAGAGGTAAAAGACAATAGAGAGGACTTCCAAAGTTCAAGCCATATGTTTTAAAAAATTGAAATTCAACAAGCTTTTAAAAATATTTATTGCAGCCAGGCATGGTGGCAAACGCCTGTAATCCCAACAACTTGGGAAGCTGAGGCAGGAGTATCATGAGTTCAAACTCAGCCTCAGCAACTTAGCAAGGCCCTAAGCAACTCAGCAAGACCCTGTCTCTAATAAAATATAAAAAAGGGCTGGGGATGTGGCTCCATCGTTAAGCACCCCCGAAGTTCAATCCTTGGTACCTATATATACTTTACATTTTCTCTCATGCAGTTTTTATACAGTTTGCATCCCACAACTGTTTCTCAGTAAATATATGTTGATTATACACAAATGTATTCTATCAGGATGAGTGAGCAAAACCACAAAAGAGGAAGACACATATTCTGAAGGAGACAAGACTAAATATTCTCAAAACACAGGTGTGTAGACTGTCTAATAGAAACTGGTAAAAAAGGAAAGTTCTCCAGAATGTC